CGCTATACAATATGTGTTGTAGCTTGGCATAGTAAGCAGTCTAAAGCCCTGCTGGGTTTTTTAAGAGTATTTTTAAGAGTACTGGTTTGAATAATCTAGAGAATGAATTTATTTAACAAAGTATGCAAAGTCTGAAAAGTATACCTTGATACTGACCATTTCAGAAATAACTGTTTAGCATCCCTGATTACTTACCAGCCTTTCCCTTCTCAGTGCTTTGAGGTCCCTTAGCAATGATTTCTCCTGCAACAAAATGTGCTGTCTGCATGCTCATTCCCTCTTCCACCCCACCTTTTTCTAACGGCAAACATCCCAATTCACCCTTTTCCTTTCCTCTTGTGGCCTTCAAAAGCTTAGTTTTAATTACATGCAATAGCATTCATAGATCTGAAATCTGGAAGGTATTCGTGGCCTGTCACCCACTTCTGCACTGTTAAAGATGTAAATTACTCCCTTTCACACATTCTTAATTGATACTGTTTATAATTTACACGTACTAATGAGCGCATGTTGACCTCCTTAGTAACTCATTAAAACCCACAAATTACTCTTTAGCAACTGCTGTGTCAATAAACATGTCCAAAATCTAAAAATAACAGATTTTGCTTCGGTGTTGAAATGCAGTTAATGGATAATTTGGTAAGTGAAATGAGGTGTCCTGTGTGTTAGATGACAGAAAACTTGGAGCAACCAGAATTTAAATGCACACAGGGAATTCTTAATATGAAAAGTTCCCTTTGCAGGAAAAAAAAATAAAAATACTAAGTTTATTGCTGTCAAAGTATTGCTGTGTACAGCATAGTAATAAAAATAAACTTTTTTTTCCAGCTCAACAGAAATAGATGATATGCTCAGAAAAGCCACAAATTTGCTGCTTACAAGAACTCTAAGTAGTTGTTTACAGAACCTAATTAAAAAACCTCATATAGGTTTAACAGAGGTAAGTTTTAAAACACACCCTTAAAACCAGGGGGTTTAAGACAATTAGTGCTAAAACTATATGTAAAAGTAGATACACAGCTATTGATATGACAGTATAAGAAAATCAAATAATGTTTGCTTTAAAATGGAAAATTTAAAGAGGTGAAAGATGGAAGTATAAAACCCATCAATATCTGTTGCATATGTAAGAACTATACAGTGTTGAGTCTAGTTGACATTTTGAGAGAGACATGAGGATGAAAGAGTTCTGTCTTTTGTATGATAAACACAGGTTTGCAAGAAATAAGCCAAAGACACTTAGTTTTTTGGTTACGTGCAGAGTATGGTTTGTGTGATTGTCTCCTGTCCAGCAATTAGTAGCACTAATGTTGACTTTCTCTTCCTTTATAAACTAGAGTGAGGAGGAGAGTCTCTCTCACACTAACTGTGTAAAGCTTCAGAGTAAACCTCCCAGATCAGGAAATTTAGAAACCTCAGGCTCACTCAAATACACAGAACTTTTTCTGTAGTAATTGCAGTTAAAATGTTCTAGTAGGTTTGTGCATGGTTTTTTTCTTCATCACGTCTCCTGGTTTAATTTGTTTATTGGGCAGAATAAGACAGGATGAGATAGTGAAGCACTGTGCACATTTCCTGCAGGTACATGCAGTGCCAGGAGACAGCAGGTACCTCCTGAAACTTGAGAAGGATTTAGGCTGTTGCCATTAGAGCAGTGTTATGTCCTACTGAGTGGTGTTTTTAAACTGCAAGAACCTCTTACATAGATGACATCAAGAAGATGATGAGAAAGGAGCTCTGTAGATCATATGTTGCTATGTTAGTGAGACAAGCTGTACAGTTTTTCTGAGACAGTTCTCTGTTCTTGAAATTGGTAGAGGAATATTTTTCAAGAATATGAGAATAAATTCACTACTGTTTTTTAAATTATCAGTTTGATATATTTGATGAGAAAAATGCTAAAAAGGGAAGACTTATTTTGCCATTACATTAGTGGTCCCTAAAACAGATTGTATGCAGTGAGAATAAAGATAAAATGGTATTTCAGTTACTGTGCATTGTGTACATCGTCTGATTTGTGAACTGAGTGAGAATTCAGGTCCTGTTTATAAAAAGCATTTGTATTATGTACGAGCAGATTGTTACCATTGTTGTGGGGAAGGAGTTGACACCCTTATTTTTGAAACTCCCTGACTTCAGAATGCATCATTCTGCAGGCAATATGTTGACTTTTTTTAATGACAGTAAATGTTTAAAACCTATTTTAATGGCACGAATTAGTGGTTTTTATTTTGGCAATATATTTTCCTTTATTTTCCCTTATTTAAAATGTTCTTTTATGTTCCTTTATTAAGTTGGATTTCAATTGGAATCAAAATCCAAGTTCAGTTGGATTTATTTCACTTTTTTTTACTAAATGGCATAATTTGTACATGAACTACAGTGTTACTCCTTAGTGGTACTTGAAACTCACAGGAAATAGGTGGTAACCTGAAATACTGAATTTCTAGTAACTTTTGCTCCTGAAAGGAGGAGCCATTTACAGAATGAAATGACAATGTGTGATGCAGAAAGGATTTTTACGATAATTTTTGAATCTCTTGTAGCTTGTTCAAATCATCATAAACACAACACATTTGGAACAAGCCTGTAAATACCTTGAGGATTTTATATCTAACATTACAAATATTTCACAAGTGACTGTTCACACTGCAAGACTTTATGGACTTTCTACATTTAAGGTATGGTATATCTCACCTGTTATATAACTGTATCTGAAAAGGTGTGTTAAAATCACTGTAAATGAAGCACTTTAAAACAAAAGGAGAGTGAGGGCAAAGCTGTATGCTTTCTCATTTTTGTCTCTAAAATAATTCTGAACTCTTAAGCATTCATTTGTAACACTGAGCACATAAACACTGGTTTTTATGTTACGGGTATGGCCTGGAATATGTCAGTATCATAGTATGTTAAGGTGTTGGAATGGACCTTAGAGATCATCTAGTCCCAACCCCCTGCCCTGGGCAGGGACACCTCCCACCAGAACAGGTTGCTCAAGGCTTTAGCCAACCTGGCTTTGAACACTGCCAGGGTTGGGGCAGCCACAGCCTCCCTGGGCAACCTGTGGCAGGGTCTCATCACCCTCACAGGGAAAAACTTCTTCCTAATATCTAATCTAAATTTCCCCACTTTCAATTGATTCCCATTACTCCTTGTCATATCACTGCAGTCCCTAACCAAGAGTCCCTCTCCAACCTTTTTGTAGCCCCTTCAGGCAAGTTATGAAGCTTCCAATAGATTAAGCTCCTGTTTGTGTAACATCTGACATTGAGGTGCTGGAGTGGGTCCAGAGAAGAGCAACGAGGCTGGTGAAGGGACTCAAGCACAAGTGCTGTGAGGAGAGGCTGAGGGAGCTGGGGTTGTTTAGCCTGGAGAAGAGGAGGCTCAGGGGAGACCTTATCACCCTCTACAACTACCTGAAAGGAGGTTGGAGTCATGTGGGGGTTGGTCTCTTTTCCCAGGCAACCAGCAGTAGGAGAAGAGGGCACAGACTCAAGTTCTTCCAGGGGAGATTTAGGTTAGATATTGGGAAGAGATTTTTTTATGGAGAGAGTAATCCGTTGGAATGAGCTGCCTGGGGAGGTGCTGGATTCATCATCCCTGGAGGTGTGTAAGATGAGACTGGATGTGGCACTTGGTGCCATGGTCTAGTAACCACAGTGGGGTTGGACTTGATGATCTTGGAGGTCTTTTCCAACTCTGTTGATTCTATGATCTTCCTTTTCTGAATGGAGTCAAGCCAAACTTTAAAAAGCTTAATGTAAAATATTTATATCTATTTACTTTTATTCTACAATAGAACTATTTGTCTATTTCTAAATGGTGAAATTATTAATATAAAAGAAGTATTAAGAATGTGCTACAAAGCACAAATTATTCTATGTTCATTTTAGAATTTATGTTTTATTTACATGTCCTTTGTATGCACAGTAGTTGTTAAATGATCACTGGGAACTCGACTGTTTCTAATATATGGCAACTGCTTACCTGCACAAGCTGTATTTTTCAGAAACTGTAAAGGTGCTTAAACTTTTATTTCAGAAAATAAAAGTAAATCTTTAGTGATGCACAGACAATTACAATTTCATCCATTAACATGGCAACATTTGTAACCTGAGGGCAAAATAATCCTAAAATAAAAAATTGTAGTTTTCTTTCTATAAGACTCCTCATCTCATTAGGAGGTGAAGTTCTCTTACTTATTCTTGCATTTGTCTGCACAAAAACTCTGACGGATTTTGAAAGGTGATAACTAAAGCAAGAATACCAAGTGGCTTGTCTAGTCTGATGTCCTTGGCAGAGCAAAAACCTCATTTGCAATGTCCCTCTCCATGATGTTACTCCAGAAGCCTTAGTCCTTTGCCAGTTGTAAGGCAGACACACGTGCTATTAATGAGCAACCAGCTTATACATAATGTCAGGTAACTCAAAATGACTGAGATTTATCCCTGACTGAAATTAGTCAAAATTCTGATCCTTTCTCAGGCTATTTCAAGCATCAGAGGGTTGTGTACATCAACAAACAAGTTTTGGTATTCATATGCATAAAATACAGCAGACGTTCTTTCTTTGACCAAGTCTGGCTGAGTAGCTTTTTGGGTTTAGAACAGAAGCAAATGTGTGTGCTTGGGAGGTGACTTGGGTTTTTCTTTCTGAAGAAAACATTCTCCCAGAAGAATAAGCTTGTACAGGTTAACTTGTGCCATTAGTTCAGCGTTGCCTTCTTAGCCACTTTGTGCTTCTATATAGAAGTCTGTGAAAGAGAAACAAAACAAAACAAAAAGTCATCAGGGATTCCAATGCAGCTGCAACTTGGACTTTAGGTATTTGGTTTGTTTTTTTTCTGTGTACACTGAAACAAAGGAGGGCAATTTTTTGTATTTATGGGATAAAGAGGGCTAATCCTATTGAGAGTAGTGCTGTTTTCTGTTCTTCATTTTTTCCTCTTGATGCAATATGTAGAATATCCTAATCTAATATACCCTCTGGCATAGATATTACAAGTTGGGTGAGGTGGAATCATTGCAAAACACTTCATATTTCTAGTTGATTGCCAACAATTTTCCTATTAGCTGTCGCTTGTTTTGCTAAGGAGTTAATGCACAAGGCAAGACAGAAAGGTTCTGGTCTAGCAACCATTGTTAGGTTATCATTGCCCTGCCAGTTGTTTTAGTAAGCTTGCCCTAGGCTGCCCAGTTAACCTGTTGTGTACTGATAGTGCAAGTGTGTCTTTGAATTTGCATCTCTCCAGCTGTTTTAATGTACTATCAGTCCATGATATTTTAAAAATTCAAGCAAAACACTTCATGCAGCCATTGGCTCTGATTTCATCCTGGAATTTCATCTAGTAAATGCAGTTGCAAATTTGCATTGTATTTTTTGCTGAGTGTTTATGCTGCAAGTTATGTTTAACTATCCTATAAACTATCTAAGTTCTATTGGAGGGATTCACAGAATATTATCCCTGTGCTTAGTGAGCTTAGTATCTATGCAGTTCGGAAAAATACGGGATGAACACTGATAAGCATGTAAAATTTTTGGAATTGTTTCTCTCCTGTTTACTTCCCTGGAGAACTTGTTAGCACAACGTTCTCAAATTATAGTAGAAAATTCTTTTCTTGTTAATACTTCTTTTTTGTTCTCCCTGTTTTAATGAAAAGCTGCTCACAGTTCCCCACCTGGGCCCTCACAGAGTTTGGTATGTTCTACTGTTATTAGATTCATCTCCTGGTGGCAAATTGTGTCACCTCCATTCTTTCAGAGTGGTCAAAAATCTCCTTTTATTAGCAGCATTGATCACATTTGCATTCCATGAGAGGAACTTTTAAGGACATCTGCACTGTATGTTTTTAATACAGAACAAAACAGAAGGACTAGTCTTGTCGTTGCCAGTAAATCATCTTAACAGTTGAAGATGATACAATCAGTCCTTGAATGACTTATTTTTTAACGAAAAACCCTAAACCAAAATAAACAAAAAATCCAAGCAATTTTTGCTAAAACCAAGCAGATATATTGGCAAGTCCTATCATTATATATTTGAAAATGAGGCCTTATTGATAATTACAAACTTTTAATATAGACTTGACTTTAGATGAAACTTTCTTAGTCATGGCCATGTACAAAATTGTGGATGTCAGCACATTCCTTTGGCATGTTAACAGGTTGCCATGTTCTTGTGTGTTGGATTGGGAGAGCTGTTCAGTTGAGGCTTTTACAAGTTGGTTGGGCAGAAAAATGCTATTTTTAGGAAATCATGCTTTGATATTTATACATGGCAGGGCCACATGCTTTCTTGCTTACTCCTGAAGTGCCTCACAGTCTGGGGCCTGACTGAAGACTGAATTTGGCACACTCAATGTGAGGACACCTTTAAGCTTAGATAACTGTGAATGTTCTTAGTTTTTCTTTTTGCCTTTCTTATTTACACTTTTCTGAAGTTGTTTTGGAGTGCTTTCTTCCAGAAGAAAGATTGCCCAAGGAGGTGGTGGAGTCACCATCCCTGGAAGTGTTTAAGAGGTGTCTGGATCTGGTGCTGGAGGTTTAGGGGTTACAGCAGTGACAAGTTAATGTTTGGACTTGATGATCTTAGAGGTCTCCTCCAACCTTGATGATTCTGTGATTTTTATGAGTGCTCTGAATCATAGTGTGTGATGATCAGGATATTTAAAGGAGGATGAAAAATGATGAGTATTCTTCAGATGTGCAGCTTTAAGACCTTAATTATATAAAAATCAAATGATTGCTGGATATCTGTCAATAAAAGATAAAGTTATTGGGTTCTTTTATTATTTTCTTTGTAAAAGAAGGCAAATAAACTTTGTGTCAGGGTTGATACATTTGTAAGGCTGAATTAAAGGTGGTGGTTGTGAAGGGAGTAGAGAAATTGCTTTGTTTCCAAATTCAAATTAACTTTATTTGTCCCCGAGAACTTCGATTATTTTGTAAGCATGTTAGGTTATAAATACTCATAGTCTACATTATGGGAGTATTTTAAAAACCACAGCCTCAGACTTATTGTAAGGCAGAAGTTAAAATAAAGTTGAAATAATGTATTAAAATGAAACATTTTTTTAATCTAAGAAAAATGCAAGACTTCATTTCTGTTGATTAATATAATTTTATCTGCATTGAATAGTATTTTAGAACTCTGACAATTGCACATAATTTCTTTTTCAGGATGCAAGGCATGCTGCCGAAGGAGAAATCTATACAAAACTTAACCAAAAAATAGATGAATTTATTCAGATTGCTGATTATGATTGGACAATGTCTGAATCAGATGGAAGAGCCAGTGGATACTTAATGGACCTAATTAACTTTTTAAGAAGCACATTTCAAGTGTTTACTCATTTACCTGTAAGTGTTCAAAATTAAGTTTCATTTTAAGCTATTTGAACATGATTTTATCTTATTTTATTTTATAACATATTAAGGTTTTGAAGACAGATGTGATTTTTTTAATTGTACACATGCTGACAGATGTATTTCTAAGTGTTTTTCAGCACAGGAATATTGCCAAATGTGTTTCAGTATGTTGGTGATGCTTACCCATGATGGGAGTACTTAGAAAATGCTTTCAAATATGTTCAGATTATTTAGTAATATTGTTACCAACAATTAATTTACAGGTGGGGCAAGAATTCATGCAGTTTTCTAGAGCATCATGTGGCCTTTTTAGTTAGCCATCTTGGGTTTGTGTGCACATGCATTGGTTCAAACAATGCAGAATTAGTGCAAATCCTGGGTTTGTGCATAAGGTTATGGAAGTTTTGTGTTCTCCTAGGCTTTTAGCTATATAGTTTTGGGCATAAAAAGTAATTTGATTCTAGTTAACTGAGCTTCATTGAAATGAATCCATGTTCATATTCAAGTATATCCTGTTTTATTTTGTCCCATGAAAAAGAGTAACGTTAATGTCTTTTATGTACAAATTGTTTCATTCTGTTGTCTGATTTCCCCTTGCTGTAGGACAAAAAAGACTATTTCTAGTTTGGTTTCTCATCATAGTACTTTATAGGTTTGTAGATCTGGAGTAACTTCAGTAAATCATTCATGCTACATCTGCTTTTCATCAGCTTGTCCTTGGTTGCTACAGTTACACTGATGTCTGGGTGGTGTGCCCACCTGCAATGCTTATAATGAGTCCTCGATGCATAGAATGTTTTGAGGCCTCAGACTGGAAGTAAAAGATAATTTCTTTATGTACAGAGCAAGGTGTTGAAGTTGCTGGCTTAGCAGGTTGATCTGGTTTTCCAAGTCTTCCATGAGGAGGCTGTGATTCTTCAGTCTCCTATTTTTTTAATCTGTCTCAAAGGCATTAACCCATTCAAAATTATCATGTGAAATTGGCACGACTGTGTTGTGTGAGGCATGTGCTTCTGTGCCAGATCAGTGGAGTGTTTTTTGATAAAGACTAGCAAGTTATTTAGGTAGTTAAATTCATTGTAACTTAGTGTACAAGCAGTGTGGACAAATGGCACTGCTCCTTGATGGTCATACGCATATACAGTTAAGGGATGTGAAGTTTGTTGAGCAGGCTGTACTGGAGTCTGGCATGAATATTATGTTGCCATATAGCTATTCAGAAGTGAGCCACAGACAAAATGATGTGTTAAGAGGGATGGAAAGAAGCAGCTGTACCATTAAGACTAGAAAAGTGTGGAGGGAATAGAAATATGTGTCTGGAGGCTCAAATCAACCTTTGGAGAAAGCTAGTTCCTGTGCAGAGGTGATTCTGTAATTTCAAGCTCTGGTCGGGTAACAGACAGGATGTAGAACTATATAGACAATCTGCTCTGGCAAGAGTTTTCTTGTAATTTTCTACTTATCCTGCATATTGCTCCCTATGCCACAGGGCTTGGCCAGCTGTAGAAACTTGCAGTCTTAGGAATGTTGTTGTGTGTGAACTCTGAGTTTATGTGAAAATGTGTATACAGTTTCCTAACTGTGGTTCTGGTTAGATTTGTACTAGGAAGTTATTTGCAGTAAGAGAATACCTAGAGTAAAAGCATTTTCAAAGGTTAGCCCAGAACTAAGTTCTATAACTCATTAAAATAGAATCATAGAATGGTTTGAGTTGGAAGGAGACTTTAAAGGCCATCTAATCCAAACCCTTGCCATAAGCAGGGACACCTTCAGCTACATCAGGTTGCTCAGAGCCTGGACCTGCCCTTGAACACTTCCAGGAACTGGGAAACCACAGCTTCTCTGGGCAACCTGTGCCAGTGCCATTTCTTCCTTCTATCTAAATCTGAATCCTCTGTCAGTGTGAAGCCATTCCCCTGTGTTGTATCACTCCAGGCCCTTGTCCAAAGTCCCTCTCCAGCTCTCTTGGAGCCCCTTTAGGCACTGCAAGAGGGGATCTAAGGTCTCCCTGAAGCCTTTTCCAGGCTGAACAACCCCACTTCTCTCAGCCTGTCAAATAGTAAGTGCTTTGGAGTGCTAAACTTAGCTAGATTCTCATATACCATAACTTAAGATTTGGAATAGTTCTAGAGTTCATTTCCAGTAATGGATTATTCCATTCATATCACGGTGAAATTTGCATAATAATTTTTGTACAGCTGGCAGAAACATTCCACTGCTCAAAATAGTTTCAGAACCTTCTCTGTAGTTAGAAATCAAAGAACAGAACTCTAAGCCATGGGCCATAATTCTAGTAAGGAAGAGTGGGACAGGTAGAGTGATCTCTTCTAGTTTAGCATACTGATTGTGTTGGAGGGCATTGTGCTAGGGATAGGGACACTAGTTCTCTGTAGTCATGCTCAAGCGTCACTGACTTGTTTCAAACTCAAGTCTTTTTATAGAAGTGCTCTAATATGTTCTGTAATGATTTATTTTGGTTTTTTTGTGGTCTTTGGGAGCCTTGTTTTATTTTAGCTGTATGTGTAAGCTGTGTAAATGCACAGGGATGTGTCTTCCTTTGGGCTTCCATGTGGGGCTGTACCAAAGTATTTCTGTACCAATGTAGACATAACTATTAAAAAAAATACATATTATGTTGTGTATGTTCTATGCAATTTGTGTTCTTTTCATTGGCACATCAGAGCTCTTGGGTAGACCAGGATCAAAGCTGTACTGAACCTGCACACAAAGTGTCACAAATTGGTTGGAGTGTGATATCTCTGTTGAATCACTGGGAATGTCTTGTATCCCTGAAGCCTTTTTTTTTCCTGTCTTAAGTTTTGCATCCTAGTTTTCTCCTCTGTGTTTGTTTACTGTACTTAGGAAGCAGTTTTGGAAAAGAAAATAGCTTTATTCCACCTTGGAGTTACATTGCTATTAGATTTATGTTAAAGTTTATTAATGGGTCATGTTACATTTAGCATCTTAGTATCCTGAGTATTGCTTGAACAAAGTGTGTTAATGACATGCAGATAATCTCTGTCAGACAAGATGGTAAACATGGCATTTGTTTTTTAACCTAAGGGGTTTGGAATATATTCTGTCTGGTAATGGAAACTTTCTGGAAAGGCACTTCAACAGACACTTTGTCATTTGATGGTTGCTACTTTGATATTTTGGCATGTAGTATCTTATAGAAAAACATATTATTGGCAAGTTAGTATTATTTAAATTATTAAATTGTCTAAATCTCTTTGTTATGCCTCAGCAAAATACTGTAGAAGTTCACAGGTTTTAAAAAAATAATGGAAGGAATAATGTAGCTATAATTGTTCTTTTTGTAAGCTTTTTCTTACCTTTTATTGCTACCAATTTTTTATTCTTTTTTTTTTTTTTGGTGTTGACAGTACATCTTAATTTTTTTGTTTTGATTGCCTTACTGGTTTCCTTCTCAGAATAACAACAATGACCATGCAGCTATGTCGGTAAGTAGATGCAAGATGAAGAAAAAGCATGTGAACAGAAAAACTATGAACTGCCTGCAGGCTTATTGCTTCAATTTTTAATCATTTAATAAAACAACCCTTTCTGTTTTGCTGATGGCTTGCTGTGTACCTTGTGTGGTTGCATGCAGGGATCAGGTTAACGGCTAACATTGGCTTTCATACCCTGGGATGGACAGCAGGAGTCCTAAAAACCTTGCAGAAGGCTGATGGGGTGTGCCTTGCATCCCAAATGAGATTATTTAGAGGAGACTATGAGACCTTTTGAAAGAGAGGTCAGGTATCAAAATAGAGCCACGATCCATGCATATAGAATAAGAGTAAAGAGAAATAGCTGAATAAAGAATCTGTGGAAGTTCCATCGTTTCTCTGCTACATCTGCCTGGGGTCAAGGCAATGAGTGTGCTGATGTTTTTTATTTGCCTTATTTTTATCTTTTAAGAAGGTGGTGGATTGCATTTGAGAGGTCTTCCATCCCCTGATTATTTTCAGGTCATCAATTGTTTTGCATAAGGAGTTCACTTTGATTTGGCATAAGCAATTCCATGATAATGAAAGTGATGAAGTTAATATTACTAAATTATTAAAATCTGGAGAATGGATTTAGCAATGGGCCTCCAGATTTTTAGGAGCCTAGAGCGCATGAGTTGCAAGTGGAGGTTTAGGGAGGTGGATTATTTGGTCTGTTAAAGGGAAGGCTGGGAAGAGATCTAGCAGCAGCCTACAACCTCTTGAAGAACAAATACAAAACTGATGGAGTCAAACTCTTCTTGGCAGGACTGGCAAGTTCATGTGTGGTTATGGGCACAGGTGGAAGCTTGAGAGGTGAAGCTTTGACATTAAGGAAGAAGTTTGCATGAAGAGAGTAGTTCGGTGTTGGAGGAGGTTAAACAGAAAGGCTGTTGAATTCCCATCCTCCGTTGTTTTGAAGGCTCAGTTAGAGCAAAGGGCAATGGACCTGAACTAGTGTTGGCAATAGTCCTGCTCCAGGTAAAGGGTTGGACTGGATGATATTGGTGGTTCATTCTAGTGAACATTTCCATCATTTGAATACTCAGCATCATGTTGAACTGTCAGACTAATAGATGTTGTGAGCACTGTGAATATTGAACATTTCGTGTAGCAGTTCTTCCTGTCGATGTTGCTTAGGTCTCTGTCTGCTGGTTATGTCATGACCTAGAACTAGCAGAATTGCCGCAGTGCAGAGAACAGAAGTTCTGTGGCTTTTGGAAGGTTATAGCTTGAGAATCATGCAGCTCTTAATGGTTCTGTTTTCTAAATTCACAAGAATTTAGTCTTTTGAGATTATGTCTGTTTCAGGTTCTTTTACATCCCATTTGAAGCTCATGTTGCAGTTTGTAGTGCCATTAGGTGCTTTGAATTGAAAAGCAAAATAAAATTTCATTATATAGCCATTAATCTCATTAAATAAATTGGTTATCAAATTTGTTATTAAGGACCTGCTTCTTTTAGTTTTTATTTTGGACAGTTAAGGAAAAACGTTACCTTCTATTTTCAGATCAGTTA